TTTACAAGTGATTGATATATTTATTATTCAGGTAATAGGGATATTTTCACAGGTATCTGTTCTGTGCACCTCTATAAACTGTTTATTTTAAATGAATGTCTTTTATTAGCTATCAATTATATCTCAACAAAATCAAAGGAAAAGGAAACCTAAAAGGTACATTAAACAAAACACAGTAAAGGGGTTAAATGTGAGAAAGTAGTGAGGATTGTGAGCTGAGCTATACAGTAGGACCCTGTCTAAAGAAAAGAAAAAAGTTCAGGCTCAGATGGCAACTTGAGAGCAGTACAAGCATGAGGACTATAGTTCCATTCCTCACCTAAAGAGCCAGGTGTGCTGGCACTGGAGGGCAGGTAGATTCCCGGGGCTTCTGGCCAGCCAGTCTAACATAACTGATGAGTCCAGGGTCCCAGTTAATAGTCTGTGTCTCAAGCAGGAAGAGGTAGGGTGGGAATGATGCAGATATGGTATACTCAAGTATGACATTCTCACATTTAACAATACTAACACAAAGTTGGACAGCTCCTGAGAAAGTACATCAGAAGTTATCTCTGGCGTCTATACACAAGAGCACCTGTGTGCATACACAAACACAATGGATTATAGATATCCTCTAGGTGCTCAGAAAATACTATTTGCTCTGCAAGCTGAGCAAAAGTAAGAGATATGTCCATGTCTTTTACTGTTTATCTTCTGAGCCAATTACAGTATCTGGCACTCAAATCTTACCCATATGTGTGTACACACATTCACACCCCACACACTAAACATATACGTACATATAAGATAATCTTAAATACTATAGCAGATACAAACAGTAAAAATTATTGTTTATCTGAAACATGTGACATTGTCTTTGCTTATCAGAAATACACATTTAATTGGCCCTCTATTTTCGCTGGCCATAGTAGATGTTGTCTTATCTCTACTGTATGAAATCAAGCCTCTACAAAGGGGTGGCTAACTTGAATTCTATTATTTTGACTTGGAGGAGGATCCTGAACTGCTCCTCTCCAGGCAAAGATACATGCTACATCCAACACAGTGCCTCATTCACAAAGTACCTACTGCTCTACAGATTTTGCAAAGATAAGGGCTACACTTATATTGTTTACTGCTTATCCCCCAGAGTCTATTACAACACCTGGTGCACAGTGAATATATGATTAACTGATTAGCTAACACTCATGCACCTACAAAAGGCACAGTTGACCTTTTAACTCCAGCCTTTGTACCTGGCTGATAAACACCTCTGTCAGTTGTGTGTGCCTGAGTGCTTTTGTGTGTGTGTGTGTGTGTGTGTGTGTGTGTGTTCAGTTGTGACAGGGAAGACGTGGAGGAAGGAACAATGAGACAGCTGGTCACATCCACAATCACAAAGCAGAAAGAGATAAAAGGCCAAGCTCAGCTCATAAAGTGGTGCTGCTCACATTTACTGTGAACCTTCTAACTCAATTAACTCGGTTTAGAAACTTCCTCCTAGACATGTCCAAAGGTTTATCTTCTAGGTGATTTTAGAATCTGTCAAGTTGAAAATTAGTATCAAGTATCACACAGACAGAACTAAGACATTGTTGATATCTAATATTCATATCTTTTAATTATTTTCTTTCAATATGAACCCTCAAAATAAAGTCAAATTCAGAACGTAAAGTCCTAACTATAATCCTGGAAATACAATTTATTTTTTTAGGTTTTTTTCTTTTTTTTTTGGGTTTTTGGAGGTAGGTTTTCTCTGTGTCATAGCTCTGGCTGCCCTGGAACTCACTCTGTAGACCAAATTGGCCTCTAATTCACATAGATCTACCTGACTTTGCCTCCTGAGTGCTGGAATTAAAGGCAGGAGCCACCACTACACCACAAGTTATTAGTATGCTACGAGGGAGGTATAATTGTGATTCAGAGTTTAAATATTTACTATAGCACAAAAAATTAAAAGAATCCAGATACTGATATTGGGATTCAAACTTCAAGCTCCATATTAGAAAAGCAAAGCAGCCAGCTACCATCTCTCACTTCTAGCTCAGGCGGAACCGGCTGATCCATGCACAGGCTCTGCACCAAGTCTCAAACTGCTGCCTCTCCTCAGTGTGGCTGGAGAATGAATGCTTCCTACTGACCACTGAAGTCCCTGCTTCTGTCTTTAATACCCTACTAGTTTTGGGATTAAAGGCATGTGATCTGTTACTCTTTAGACTGATTCAATCTCATGGATCCCTAAGTGGCCTTGAACTCAGAGAGTTCTGTCTACCTCTTAACCAGGAGTCCTAGGATTAAAGATGTATACAACCACCTCCTAGCTTCTGGCTGATGGGATTAAAGGTATGTGCTTCTATGGTTTGTGGCTGACTGTGCTTTCTGAATCCTCAGAAAGTTTTAATAAATTATAAACAATATATCACCACAATTTACCATAAATAACAGCTTATGGGAATCAAAATCAGATCTGTAACTCTAAAGTCAGTTTAAGGATCAGTTTGACTATACTATCTAATTGATTTGGATTGATTACTTCTAAATCTAGTCATTATGGCAATGTTTGAACTAGTAGAACACTTCTCTGATCACAACTTCATATTTAAGCTTTAACTGATACACAAGTACAAAGTCAAATTTCACAAAAATAGCAGCAAGTATTAATGAATATGTAGCATGTGTTAATACAAGTACCCTCATATGATGCTGTCCTGGAATGTTTATAATGTAGGTGCTATAAAAAGAACCTGCAAATTCCTTAAAAAATTCAAGTGCCCCAGGCAGTGGTGGTGCACGCCTTTAATCCCTGCAACTCAGGAGGCAAAGGCAGTTAGATCTCAGAAGTTTGAGGTTGGCCTGAGTTCCAAAGCAGGCTCCAAAGCTACAGAGAAACCTTGTCTCAACACCCCCCCCCCAAAAAAAAAGAAGAAAAAAGAAATAGAGATGGTAAGATGGCTCAGTGGTCAAGGGTGCTTTCTATCAAGCCTAATAATTTGAGTTGGATCCCTTCATGGTAAAAGAGAGAATGGACTCCACAAGTTGTTCTTTGATTCCACACATGTACCATGTCATATGTGCTCACACACACAGGCACACAAACACAATAAACAAACAAATAAATAAATGTAAACAGAATTTCCAGGCTGGGTATAACAGTGAATACTTGGCACTAAGAAGGCAGAGACAGGTAGATCTTTGTGAGTAGGAGACCAGCCTGATTGATTACATAGGGAGTTCCAGGCTAGCAAGGCTGCATAGGGGATACTGCTGTTAAAAAGAAAAAAGGAAACAATCTACAGCTCTCTATAGTTTATTCCTACAAATGAGCAGAGATTGCATAAGTTATAACTAATGACAGAGAGCTAATGCAGAAAGAAATGCCTGTGCTTAGTGGCTCTCAGAACTGTAAAGAATTGTTTTTTCTTATGTTTCTTGAGACAGGGTTCATCTGTGTAGCCCTGGCTGTTCTAGAGCTCACTTTGTAGACCAGGCTGGCCTCAAACTCAGAGCTGTGCCTGACTTTGCCTTGAAAGTGCTGGGATTCAGGTCACACACCAACCAATTCAGAACTGTAAAGAATTTTAAGAAAACATAGAAAAGCATATCCACTTTCTTGTGTTGAAGATGACTAAGGGATATAGAATTTCATAAGGTAATATAACCAATGACTGAAAGAAATGGTAAATTTATTAAGGTTCCTTAGTAAATCAGGAACCTTAGTAACTTTTTTGTTTGACTGGTTGGTTTTGTGTGTTTTGTTGTTTTGAGACAGTCTCACTATGTAGCCATGGTTAGCCTGGAATTCACAAAGATCCACTGCCTTTGCTTCCTGAGTGCTAAGATCAAAAGCATTGTCCACCATACCTGGTACCATCCATGTTCTTTGCAATTGAGCTTCCCTAGTTGCTAGCAGTTCAAAGGAGGTGCAGGTTGGAGAGTAGAACAGCAAACTCAAGAACCTTGTGACAAGAGCATCCGGCTATTCTATTTGACATACCAGATTCTATTGCTAGCTAGATCTTGCTGTGTTCAAATCTTTCACCATTAGTTTCTTGTACACCTAGATAGGTGTATGCTATATTAACTGACTATTTTAATTATATTTTCACTATGGGAAAGAAAACCAAATTGACTTTTGTTGTTTTGAGACAGGGTCTTTTTACATAGACAGTTCTGATTGTCCTGGAATTCACTATGTAGATCTGGCAGGCTTCCAACTCACAGAAATTAAACAGTGCCGATATTAAAGGCACTGGACACCACATTTGGCCCAACTTGACTTTTGAGAATAAGGAATTGTATTTCTCAAAATCTTAGAAGAAAATTATATATTTCCTCAAGATAAGACTACTATGGCTCATCAAACACACACACACACACACACACACACACACACACACACACACGTCATGGTTCTTTGCTTTTGGCTGGTAACTTGGATAGCTCATGGTTTTAACCGTACTACAAGTATAGGAAGCATTAGCATGTAGTTTTATTTTTAAGATAGGTCAATAACTGTCACAATCTTTACTAGAAAAGGCAAATGTGATGTAACTAAGTTTCAGTAGATAAGGTTAAAAAATTAGAGAATACAATACTTATAAATGCAATTGTGCATGATAAGAGATATTTTAAGTTATGGGAGCCCCAAGCAAAAATTAGAAAAATGTGTCACTGCTGTTGAATTTGCAAACCACATGGCATTGATACATTACTAAACTAAACATAGACTATTGTGGTTTTTAGATACTTTGGGTCACCACAAAGCTCTGCCTCAGATCTCTACTTAAGAAATTTTAGGAAGTGGAGAAAATGGTGGCAGAGATTTTTACAAGGACAGAACATTTGACACTGTTATTCCCCCCCTCCCCCCGATGAAAATGTCTGAAATTTTTTTGAGCTTTTGGGGTGGGGGAGACTAACATGCTTGCTTCCGCACAAATATAAATGTGTGTGTGTGTGTGTCCTCCTCGAAACTTAATTGAGTAATAGAAAAATGCAAGTAAATAAACAGAAGTACTTACCCTCCCAAGGGAAGATGAGATCTGACTAAGGTAGCTAGTACCGTGCCGAATGTTTATAGAATGCCGACTGAGAGGTGCTGCAGATACTTTAGCATTTACTTTTATTGTTAAGAAGGTGACCCAAGAATTGTCCCTGCAGCTTTTGCTATCGAACGCGGCAACTCCGGGGGGTCTGTCCGGCCTCCCGAAGCTGCATTGCAGAGGGGCGTGCCGAGCCTTTCCGCAGCAGGAGGGACCCGGAGAACACACGGTGCCAGGCTAGCGTTTTAGGCTAGGTGTCCGCGGCGCTGGGTCCAGTCGCCGCCACTGGTGCGGAAAGTGCAGGCGCTAGCGGCTCTCCAGCGCGCCAGAGGCTGCGGCTCTGGAGCGGAGCCCCTGGCCGACAAGGGCCGCTAGGGGCCAGTTGCGCGTGGGCCGCTCTGGCCCTCCGCTCGTCTCGGTAGCCCCTCTCCCCTCCCGCTGCCGTGGGTGGGAGGGTGAGGACGCAGCCAGCGCGCGTGCGCGCTCCGCGCTGCAGCTAGTCTGCGTGCGTGAGTGGGAGGCGGCGGGCCTGCGACTCTGGCCTTCCCGGCTGACTGCTCCGACGCCGCATCTCCAGTCATGAACCGGTTCGGCACCCGGTTGGTGGGAGCCACGGCGACCCCGCCGCCGCCGCCGAAAGCCCGCAGCAATGAGAACCTTGACAAAATCGATATGTCCCTGGGTGAGGGGCCGGGGCGGCCTCGTCGCGGTGGGGGAGGGGGCGGGAGTCCCGGTGGGGGAAGGGGCGGTTGACCGCGGTTGTCGGGCGGGTTTGTTAGCGCGTGGGCGGAACCGGCGGGTACCCCCGAGGTGGGGCGGGCGGGGGAGACCCGGGCGTGCCCACCCCCCGGTGGAGCCGGGAAGGGCCGTGGCGAGGACTGGTCGGGCCGCGCGGCCCGCGGAGTCGGCGAGTGCTGTCCTTTTCCCACGCGGGACGCGGTCTTTCGGGCGTGTGCGCGGCCCCAGGCCTTTTCCTTACCAAGGGTCTTACACCCGGCTAGGGCTGCGACCGGCCAAAGACAGCGCTGTGAGAAGGGTTTGCCTGGAGTGATTGTGCCCAGACATATGCCTGGCACCGGCGATTTCCAACCGGCGCCCCCCTGGGAACGGCGGGGGCGGGGACGCGGTCCCGGAACAGGCACTCTGAGCATCGTTAAGCGGGGACCGTGTTGCTGTGTTGCATTAGGTGTTTACTGAAGCCTGTTCCCCAGCCAGGTTTCAAAGTTAGCCAGTTGGGGGCGGGGAGGGAGAGATGTACGCAGATTGCTAAAATCTCAGGTAGAACGAGGGGTCGAGCACACATTAAAAGGATGCGGTGGTTACAGTTGATTATGTAAAATAATAATAATAACAAAGCATGATGATTGTTTTTATTTTCGTAAAAAAAAAAAATTAGATCCAGCACTACAAAATCGTCTATTTGGCTTAGCGGGTCCGAAAGTAATTCCATTTTTGTAGAATCAAGTTGCCTGCTTTTTCTTTTTCCCAGTCTTCTCTCCACCGTTCCACTCCTCTCTGATATATTTAAAAAAAATAAAATACCTGGCTGCTGAATTCAAGTGTGACCTTTTTTGAGGATGGTATTTTGGATAATACTGTGCCTGGAAACATTGTTTTGCTTGCTATTTCTTTACATTCTGTTAATTTGGAAAGCTTTTGAACAGCAAGCAGTTGAGAACTCTTTCATGGTTTCTAGGGTTGTCTCAAGTCAGAACCTAATGTTTGAATTAGAAAATTGACAGGAATATGTTTGGTTTCAAGTCTGATGACACTGCTGATCAGTAATAAACAAAAAAAAAAAAAAAAAAAAAAAAACAGCTTTTGAGTGAAAGTCCTGAATCCGTATAGCAGACGTTGTATGCTTACAGGCTGCTAGGCAGTGAACTAAATATTTAATATGCATTTAATTTCCTAATAAACTCACAAGCGTTGTGCTACTAGTGATAGGTAATGTAGAGTAGAGCTATACTATTTCAGTGGGTCCCTGCTTCTGACGCTTCTAATCTTGTGACTATGGACAAATTACTTGTTAGTACTTTTTAGAGATTAATCAGTGGTTAGGAGGCTCGTGGTGAACAGCACATTTTGTTTTTGCAGTGACCCAAAGATTGGTTACCAGCACTCATTTATAGCAGCTTGACTCACAACTTACTGTAACTCCAGTCCCATTCCTTTTCTCGGCATTCGTAGATACTGCTCACATGCACAAGCTACACTCATACACACATAATTAAAAAGTAAAAGTTTAAGAAAGGTGATAGTAATTACTGTATCAGAGGTCCCGTGTCTGCTTCCTCAGTGCTGGGTTCACAGAAGTGGCCACAACGCCCAGATTTGTATAGGGGTGCTGGGGATCTGAACTGAGGTCATCATGCTTGTTGGGTATGCATTTTACTGACTGAGCCACCTGTAGCCTTTTTGCATTTTGCTTGATAATTAGGACATCAATTAAAGAGGGCTGATACTTTTCAGAGTAGAAGAAAAGTGCTGTGGAGAGCTGGAATAGAACTGTCTTCCTCAAGAGAGTAGGTTAGTCTGCCACGTGTTTTAGTTTTAGTTTAATCTTAGAGGTTTGTGAGGAAGAGATGGTTAGTCTTACCAGGTCTCCAGAAGTTTTAGAATCTGCATCTGGGTGTGATGCGATACACCCTGATCCCAGCAGAGAAGTGAATATGATGAGACACACCCTAACCTCAGCAGAGAATCAGTGGCAGGCAGATCTCTGAGTTTAAGGCCAGCCTGGACTAGGTAGTGATACACTCCCCCCCCCCCACCTCCAGAAATTTGGCTTTCATTCATTCATTCATTCTTCATTTTTTTTAACTCTATTGGATTTATATGAGAATTTATGTAGATTATCTACCAAGTTAACTGACATTGGCTCAGTTTCTTACTTTAAAAATTAATATTGTAACCCTTTTTTCTTAGGATTGCTGTGAGAATAATTGAATGCACTATAATTATCTCAGACACATGAAGAATGCCCTGGAAGAAATGTTTTCCTTTTGTCAAAAAACGAAATGATTTATGTGTATGAGTGTTTTGTGTACAAATGGCTGTACCTACTGCCTGTGGAAACCAGGGGAGGGCATCAGGTCCCCTCGAACTTGGGTTATAGCTCATTATAAGCTGCCATTTTCTGGAAGAGCATCAAGTGCTCGTAACTACTAACTCAATCCCTACTTATCCCAGAAGAAACTTTATAAAGTAGTTCATTGTGATGAATCTTATCTTTTAGTAATTATCCGGTATACTCATTGGGTAAGAGAGGTTATTTTCTCCTTTCATATCAAAAGATTTTGTTTGAGGACCTAGATATAAGTGTTTTTCTATTTTTAATTTTTAGTTGTGTCAAGAATTGTGTTATACACCAGTAATCCAGCATCTAGCACTCTGGAAGATGAGGCAAGAGGATTATGAGTTTGAGGCTAGCCTGGGCCAAAGCAAAACCCTGTCTCAAAATAATTTCATCTCTATTTCTGCTATATATACTCTGTGTAAAAATTACCTTGGTATGCTGGGCAATGTGGCACATGCCTTTAATTCTAGCAGTTGGAGGTATAGGGAAGTAGAACTCTTGTGTTCCAAGCCAGCCTGGTCTATGAGTTCAAGACCAGCCAGGGGATATGTAGTGGGATCTTGTCTCAAAAACAACAAAAAAATTACCCTAGTAGTCAAAACCAACACCTTCCTTGCCCTAATCTCCTGACCAGATTCATTGTTTGGGTATATTTTCAAAGCTTTGAGAGGTTGTGGATGTCTACTGGAAAGTTAATAGTAGCCTATTAAGGAAAAACAATGTTTCCTGTTTTCTACTCAATAAGAATTTAATAAGTTCATATATCTGATACTTATGAAACCTTTTGTGTAAACCTAGTGACGTGGTTTAAATTAATGTCTCCCCAAAGGCTCCAGTTGAAGGCTTAGTTCCCCAGCTTGAGAGCTACTGAGCTATGAAGGAGTTATGAAGGCAGTGATGCCCTCGATGGATTAGACTTGGACATGTTCATAACTAAATGGATTATTTAGGAGAAGTAGGGCCTAGTTAGAGGAAGCAGGTTACCAAAGGCATGCCTTTGAAGGTCAGCGCTCTCTTCTAGGATGTCAGGGCAGTCAGCTTTCCCCTCCTCCATGCTCTTCCCTCCCTCATGATGTTATGTATCACTACAGGCCTAAAAACTATGGGGCCAAGTGACCACAGACTGAATGAAACCTCTGAAATTATGAGCCCCCCCCCAAAAAAAAAAAGCCACCTTTCCTTTTTTTTCCTTTATCTTTTTTTAAGTTTAGTTTTTTTTTTTGTTTTGTTTTTTTGGGTTTTTTTTTTTTTTTTTTTTGTCTTCAGTGAAGGAACATGACTAACACAAATGGTTTTTAGTGTCTTTTATCTTATTAAGTGGTAGTGAGGATCAAACCCAGGTTCTTAGGAGTGCTTAGAGTGGAACACTCTACCACTGAGCTTCAGCCTTTATGTTTTTACATGTAGCAAGCTATTTTTGCAGTTGAGATTGGTCTCAAGAAGACAACTATGTACTTTGAAGTACTTTAAACTACATATATTTTTGTGTATGTGTGTGTGCCTGTTGCTGCATGTGTTTCGTCCAGAGAACAATGTATGGGAGAAATATTATAAGTCATGTAAAAGAAATGGTCATTATAATGTCTTGTATTTCCTTCTCTAATTTAGAAAAAAAACTAATTATATTGACATCTTTATGGTTAAAGTTATTTGGAAAAATGATTGGAATTAGCCTTTAGCTTTAGGTAGGAAGTTGCTGACAATGCATTTACTTTAGTTTCTTGCATTGTCAGTCACCACAACTAATATTTGGCTTAGGGACTAGAGAATTTTTCCTTCCTTCCCTTTCCTTCCCTCCTTCATCCTCTGTCTTGAGATAGAGTGACATTATGTAGCCAAAGCTGCCCTTGGAGTTACAGCAGTCCTCCTGCCTCATTCTGTCAAGTACCAGGATTACAAGTATATGCCACTATATCCAGCTGAGTTTGGATATTTCTTTCTTTTCTTTTCTTTTCTCTTCTTCTTTTTTTTTTTTTTAAACTTATTTTTGGGTCTGTGCTTGCACATCACAGCTTGGGTATGGAAGTTAGAGGACAGCTTGTGGGGATCAGTTCTCTCCTTTGACTACGTAATAAACTTGCCATCAGGCCTGGAGGTAGGTGCTTTTATTTGCAGAGCCATCTCTCTGGCACAAGGTATTTTTTGAATGAGCATATTGTTGACTTCTAGTAACTTTTGACACTTAATAAGAATTTGAAATTCATTTAATTTTCTCATCTTTTACATTGTTCACTGTAGTATTAACACAATGTGATATTTATGAATTATTCTGAGGCGGTTTGATGATGTGTTTGGAATAATGAAGCTTATAGAATTAGAGAGTTCAGAATAGAAAGAAGTAATTATGAATGACTTTGCTAGAGGAGAACAGAATTAGAGTACCATACCTTTATGATGATACTTGTTATTTGCTATTTGCATGCCTGTTCCCATAAATAATTTAAACTATTGAGAATGAGGACTGTCTTACACTTTTGTTTCATTCATGGTAGACTTACACATGAATAAATTGCATAAAGTGTACACTCAATAAATGTCTTCTGAATTCAGGTGGATTTAGAAATTTTGTCTTTTGAGGTCTTTATTGCTATTTTTGAGTTGGTTAGTTGGGTCTTTCTGAGAGCCCAAGCTTGCCTCAAACTCAATACGTAGTCTAAGCTAGCCCTTGAACTCCTGATTCTTTTGCCTCTGCCTCCTTTTGCTGGGACTACAGGCATGTGCCACCGTCCCAACAACAAGAGTATACATTTTTTTGTTTGTAGTACTGGGTTTGAACCCAAGCCCTTATATGTTCTAGTCAAATGCTACTACTGAGCTAAATCTACCTGCTATCCCAAATCCCTGGCAGAACTCATTAGTTGGTAAATCTCTTTTCTCTGTTGATTGGAACTTTTACTAGAGAAACTTTTTTCAGGCATTTCAACAGGTAAAATGGCTGATTGAAGGAAAAGGGTTGGAGTCTAGGTAGCCTAAGCTATATAGTAAGTTCAAAACAAGCCTTGGGTACATACAGAGGCTGTCTGGAAAAGCTAAGATGATAATAATGGGGACTAAGTTTAGGGATATAGGAGAAATCTATTGACTATAAAGAGATTGAGCAATTTATTCATTATGTTAAAATGAAAATAATTATGGCATTCCCTCTTTTGTAGATGATATTATCAAACTGAATAGAAAGGAAGGAAAGAAGCAAAATTTTCCAAGACTAAATAGAAGACTTCAGCAAAGTGGTACCCGGCAATTCAGGATGAGAGTACGGTGGGGAATCCAGCAGAATTCTGGTAAGTTTTAAAATACTGTTATTTATGGATTCATAATGTAATATGTTCAGCATAGACTTAAAACCTGGAAGAATACACCAGTACCACTTTGTGATTTTTATTTACTCTCAGATTTTTGTTTAGTTCTGGAAACTGGATAAAAAAATTATTTCCTAAAATATCTGATTGATTGATCCTTAAAATACTAAGTTAAGAGTAATCTCAGTTTATAAATAGTTTAAATTAGATTTAGAGTTTAGAATTGCCAAAGATCATATGTGCCATCAGATCCTGTTTTCCTCCCTAGTGACAGTCTGATGGATAACTGACCCCAGCTTGACTTTGTCCAGTGAAAGAACATTCTGCACCACAAGATAACTAACTCTGTTTTGAGACAGCTCTATTACCAGAAAATTCTCAGTTTGAATTAAGGCATGTCTAAGTATAGCAGGAACAAATTCACTTTGTAAAGGAGAATGCTTTACTATGTGGAGACTGCTACTCTGCAAAGAAAATTACTTCAGATTTATTTAGTTAGAGGCAGATGGAGTCTCACTTTGTAGCCATGGCTAGCTGTATAGACTAGGCTGACCTCAGAAGCACAGAAACCACCTGCCTCTATCTCTCCAAGTACTGAGATTAAAGGCCTGTGCCACCTTGCCCAGCTTTACTCCAGACTCTTTTATATTATCATCCAAGAACTTTATTTGTAACTTTCTCAAAGGTGGCACTAAATAGACTGCTTTAGGTATAATTAGATAATGTGCATGTATAGTTATTTTTGATAATCTTACAGCTGATTTATCTCTAATCATTTTGTTCTAAAATAGATTGGGAGCAATAATTCAACACATACATTATAGATTAACTTTTTAGCAATGACACCAGCATCTTGGAACAAATCTTTGTTAAATAAAAAGAAACTTAAGTCTTTTTCACATAAAAATAACTTTTTTGGAAGGTACATCTGCAGTGGTATTGACAATTGCAGACACAAAGTTGAGAGAAGGACAACAACCCCTGTGACAACCCCTGCCTCTCAGACCCACCCCCATGCACATAAAACCAACCAGACAAACAAACAAGAAGGGTAACAGCCTAAATAACAGGAACCAATGGAAGAGAACTATTAGGAAGTGTGATAAGGATGCTGAGGACAGCTCACTACAACTGATGGCTTCTGGTGGGGACAGGAGGGAATGACTGTTTTACTAAAGGGATAGACTGATGAGGGTTTGGTCATGTGCCAGTGAATGTAGGAATAACACAAATTGGACTTTTAAAAAATACATCTTTTATTATTTTTAATTTTAGGGAGGGCACAATTGGGGGAGCAGATTTGGAAAGACTGGGAAATGAGAGTGTTGGGGTGTATGGTGTGAAATTCCCAAAGAATCAATAAAAATAATAAAATAGTTAGCAGTGAATTAACACATGTTGGGATAGGAAGGGGCAGAATAAGAATCTTATGTATTTTTAACATTTTCCACAATAGATGGAATTTTGAAAAAAATAACTTTGCCAAAACAGTTGATTAACTGTTAATTCTTTATTCTATATTTTGAAAAGCAAAAATTAATCTTCAGTTGTTTTAGTATAACTTATATGTTTAGCGGGTAATATATCAGCATATCTTAAAAATATTACTGAGCCTGGAACCTACAGGAAATTTAATGTTTTTAAATACATTTTTAAAGATTTGTTTTTTATTTTCAATTATGTATAAGTGTGTACATGTGAGTTTAGCAGCTGATGGAAGTCACACAATTGGAGACCCTGGAGCTGGAGTTACATGTGAGTGTGAGCCACCTGACTTAGGTTCTGAGAGCTGAGCTTGAGTTATCTGGAAGAGCAACAAGTGCTCTTAATAGCTGAACCATATCTTCGGCCTCTATTAAATTTTTTGAATAGTTAAATCTAGCTTGTACACTTTGTGATAGGTACGTAGTTGTTAGAAATAAACACGTATTTCTGTTGATTTAAAGATTCCTTTATAAATGTTTTTTAATATGCCATACTTAATGCACCATGATGTATGTTTATATATTTTGTTTTGAAGTAATCATTTTGTGTTCAGAGTATTCAGAAATAGAATTTATTAATATTTTACATGTCTGATAAATGATTTGAACTGCCTGGTTCTGAAAATGAATAAAGATACAGTCTTTTATTTTAAGGAGATAATTTCTAGTGATAAATGACTTAGAGAAGATAGAATTTTAAAAATGTCATAGGTGGGCATGGCAGTGCATGTCTGTAATCTTAGCATTTGGGAAGCAGAGATAGGAGACTTGCTGCAAGTTCAAGGCCAGCTTGCTCTGTACATGAGACTGTCTAAATAACAACAGCCAAAGTTAGGACAAGGAGGGAGGCTGGGTGGCTCACAGTGTGGCTCAGCAGGAAAGAGAATAGACTGCTCTTCCAGAGGATTCCTAGCACTCACATGGTGGCTCACAACTGTCTGTAACTACAATTCCAGAGCATTCAACAACATCTTCTGGCCTTGATGGGTACCAGGCATGTGCACGCTCGCGCGCACGCGCACACACACGTACATGCAGAGCAAAGCACTCATACATAAAATTTTTTTTAAGATAAAGTATTATAGACTTCATATAAGGAATTTGTGCTAAGAGAAAGTGAGATTTAACAAATAAAATGAAATTCTATTTGATCCATTATCCTTTTATGGGGTTATGATCTGAGTCTTGAGGTAAATGATATCTAGGGGAAGCTTAGCAACTCCTAAGGTTGATGTTGCACTGGGTTAGGCTCTCTGCTGATGTGCTAGCTTAAAATAGAATAGCTGCTGCTGCTATTGGATTGTTGTTACTATCCATTTGGCTGAGAAGAGTTTAGATTTCCACCTGTGATATCAGTAATGACATTAATTTGAGGGAGGAGAATAACAGCAGATGATCATTGGCAGATGGTCAGTATGATTTTGTTGGCTGGAACACATAATTGAAGCCTTTAACTCCTTGTCTAAAATACTAACTTAGAAACTCATTAAACACTTGTAAAAACAATTTAATGTCTTGTGGTAGAAAACCAAACCAAACAACAGAGGTGACCAAAATGTAATCTGGACACCTGTAGAGAACCCTAAAAACTAAAGGGGTATGTGAAGTGAAAACTGCATCTCTATCAAGGCATTGTCATTCTCTCATGCATAGACTCTTCCTTAGTCTCTGTGACATGTTATAATTTAAATAGCTTGAATACAGAAGCGGTATCTTAGTTCATGCTTTAAAACATATTACTATGGACTAGGTAGTTTATAAACCCTAATGAGTGTATTTCTTGATTCTGCAGTCTAAGTCCTAGATCAGGGTTCCACTATGGTCAAGTTCTGATGAGAGCCTTCTGACGTGAAGCCCATGGACTGCTTGTGATAATCTCATATGGAAAGCGGGTAGAGAACCCTCTGGGGTCCATTATATAAGTGTGTGAAAGCTCCCTCCTCATAACTTCAGTTATTTCTCAGAGGCTCCTAAAATTATTAAAGCAAAGGATGAATATGTGAAAGAAATTCATGGAAAGGACCAGTGTGGGGACTTTTCTGTGTCTAGTCTAGTTCTTACAGATAAGAGAAGTGAAAGAATGGTGTAAGTGGATCTTTTCTCTGTTCTTCCTGCCAGCTCCCAAATAACCGCATGGAGACTTCTTATTCATTAGGAAAGCTCAGCTTATTAGTTAGGAAAGCAAGCTTGGGCTTGTTTCTAACTAGCCCTTATATGTAGCATAAATAATAAAAACCCAAAGACAGATACTGGGTGTTGGGAACCAGTAGTCTGCTGACCCTACCCCAGACCATGGGCGGGATGTTAATGGCCATGTCATTGCTACATCAGGTTTACCTGGCTGCACAGGGGACTCAGTTATGCATGCGCAAGCTCCCCTTTTAAAGCAAGTGCGCCAAGCGCGCCCCTCTCTCTTGCTTTCTCTCCACCCCCCCCCCCGCCCTCTCTTTCTCTCTGGCTTTCTCTCTCTCTCCGCTCTTTGTGTCTTTCTCTTTCTTCTCTCTCCTCCCCCCCTCCTGCTTTCGGTTGGCCACCAGTTACCCCCCTTTCTCTCCCTTCTCTCAATAAACTCCACGTGGGCGCTGAGTCTTGTGTTTGTGTTTCTTAGGCAGTAGTTGTATCAAAAGAACAACATTGGTGCCATGACTTGCTGAAGATCAGAAAAGCAAAGTGGCCAGAAGCAAAGCGGCCAACCACTAGCTCTTACCTCTACCTCAGACCAAAATGGGTGATCCTGTCTCCACAAATCCTTAGACTGCTTTCAGAATGCACTGAGCTCCTGCTTTGTATTCCTCTCTAGTGCTGAGATTGAGGGTGTGTCATCCCAAGTGCTAGGATCAAAGTTAAGAACTCTGTTTCACTTTTAGACTGATGCACTCTCATATAACCCAGGATGGCCTTGAACTCACAGAGATCCATCTGCCTCTGTCTTCCAAGTGCTGGGATTAAAGGTATGTACCACTACTGCCTAGCCTCTATGGCTAATTAATGGCTTAAGTGTGTGGCTAACTAGTGGCTTAGCTTTTAACTAGGTTGTGGCTAACTAGTGGCTTAGCTCTGCATTCTGATCTTCAGGCAAACATTTTTGGATTACAAACAAAATATCACTATGTTTACAACTTTAAAGTAACCCATTTTTATTAATTTACTTTCTGCCTTGTGGCTTTATTACTTTATCTGCATAGTGCTCATACTGATTACTCTGCGTCTCTTGTCATCTCTGCCCTTCTTCCCAGCGTCCTCTGTGCCTGGAAAACGCAACACAGTGGAAAGAATAATGCGTTTGGGAGCAGTGTTCTATACACAGACATTGGGAAGTGGAAGAGATTAAAGAGTAGATTCTGACCAGTATTATCTTGCTCTCAACTTTATTCCTGTTAGTCTTGCTTGTTTCATCTGATGCTGAAACTATGGTATAATAATAGATTCTCTCTTTTAACGTTTCTTTTTTGCTTTGCAATTCACTCTCCAGGAGCCAGGGAGAGGCTGAGTGGGAAG